ATGAACAATCAAAGAAAGGGAAACAACTCGACATAGTAGGTACTTTAGTCCATCGTCATAGTGTAGCCAGTGGCAACAACATCAAATGATCGTTTGCTCCACGGACCTTGCTGCGACATTATTCACGGCCCTTGCATCGCTGTCAACGAGCTTCTAGTCGAGTGTCCGTTGAGACATTATGACAAAAAGGTATACATTATTAGACCAACTAACGCTGGAATATGTACCGCAGATCGCAGCCCTTTCAGAGTCCAAAGATGTTGGGTACACAAGGCACACCAAAGGTACCCTTGAGCATCATCACGCGTGGCGTCGGGGTGATAGATGACGCCTTCCGCTCAGCTTCAGACCCAGTGTCTCGGAGCGTACTTCAAGTGGATTGGTTGTTGCAACAATTCTACAACTCGTTTAGCCCAAAGGACAAGTAAAATGATGTTGCGCGTCGGCGCTTACGTGGCGTGAGACGCATGCACACCTGCTGGGATGGACACCATCGTCGCAGCTGCGAGGACAATGACTCATCGGTTGGAGGTCCGCGCGGCAAGGTACTCGATGTCTAGAATAATGGAGGTTGACAAAGAAAAGGCTGCACGGATGAATCGGAGCGTGGGGTATGTACGACACCTCGTGCCAAGCGTAATGCGCTCAACGACGACTTCGACGCGCCACATCAACGTAGGATCGCTGGCCCACGGTTTGATCCTTAGGATGGACGAGAAAATTGGCTTGGAAAACGAACGGTTCGACTCTGCTTTCGCACATGCTGGCTACCGAAACGTCTGACCACAGCAAAACGCATATCTGTCGCGACAGTACACCAAGAGCAGCAGCGGCGCGCCCATTGGCAGGCCGCACGTGTCAGCTTGAATCGAATCCCGCAACCGTATTGCCAGTCAACCGAGTACTGTGGCGGCGCCACGTAGCATCCTGGGTGAGCGTGGGATGGCGCGCCACGTACAGCTCCAAGCGCACTGCTTTGTCACACAACCGAATCGCGCTGCCCAGTCGTGCAAAAGTGGTCTACTTACCGTAAGTGGTCGGCAGCTGCGGGAGGAAGCTTTGCGAATGAACGGTTGCGATGGCGGGCCAGCCGCCGGTCCGATAGGTCAATGGCTAGCTACTTTGGATCGGCAGCGGTTGTCGCTTGGCGACGCGTGGCCTTGCACTCACGTTGTCTCGCAGCAGAGGCAAGGCGGCGTCCTTCGAGGAGTCGTCTTGAGCCAAGAAGAAGAAGAAGAACCAACTGGGCAGAAATCAGGGGCCAAATTGCCTTTTTGAGGCTCATGTCGCAAACTTGAGTTTTATATATATATGGCGACCGCACTATACATTTGATGAGACGACCATGTCAAACTCTTGGGTGCACCACAATTTAATTCTTCGTGGACCTGCACCAGTACTTGCGCAGCAGTACACTAGCATGCAGGTGGCGACCTTCTACCTGCCCTATTGCGGTCACGACGACCTCTTCTCGAGCAGCTACGTTCGGTGCGTACACCCTTCTGCACTCGCTCGTGATCTCACGCAAACGGTCTCCTCTACACGCTCAGATGTCAAAAGTCCAGTGGGCACAAGGTACCCGACCCGACGCATTGAAGGCAAAGCTGTCACCACTTGTAGATTCTACGCTGCTTTCCACACTGCTGTCCTCGCCATGTCCACTACCGCAACTGCGGCACGGCCATCCGCATCGCAGTCACCTCAACCATCGAGGCGCGGGCGTTTGCTGCCTTTGGTCTCGCCACCGAGGTCCGCCCACGCGTCGGCGACGTCATCTACCTCGACGACTTGCGAGTTCGATCGCACGAGAGCCCGCTCGCGACGCACCTCGAAGGTTCGCGTCTCGACGAGGTAGCTTGTTGCAGCTCTCTCTGTCGATCACAAGCGAGCGTGTCTAGAACGGCCACTTTGAGTTTGATGAAAAGCAAGCCGATGGCTGGCACTATGGCTGGAAGAGTGGGCGCAGTAAGGCCCAGCGCGACCTCCTCCACGTCCTTTGGGTATCCGCACGCTTGATAGTGTACATTGCACTGGGCATTGACGGCTCGTAGGCGGTGGTGCTCCACCCAGTTGATGCGCACCGGTGGACGGTCGTCGCGGTTGCCATCTCGACGCCGTTCACGATCGTATCCTACCGCGGCGAGCACAACAAGAAGAAGAAGCACGCGCAGAGCATTCCCCGGCGCCTCCAGCGACCGGCGTCACCATCATTGTCGGACGACGAACGTGATGCGTCGGTGTCATCACTCGATCGCTTGCTTCGTTTTCTCGGCGACTACCGGCTCGATACGGCACCACGGGACGTGCTCCGGGGCATCGAAGCTCGGCTGTTGGTCATGCATGGCCTTCACGCGCTACCACTGCTACCCGCCGCGACCACTCGCCCGGGGCTCACCGTACCCGACCATGTCACGAGCAGCATGGTGGTGGCTTTGACACTCGCCCATCCTCTCTTTCTGTCGCGCGTCAACGACTATCTCTTGGCGCACGCCGAGGCGGTGCTCAACAAGGCAGCGCTCAGCCGGGTCTCGGACTCGCTCTTGCATCGTGTGCTTGTGCCCTACCTCGACGCCGAGCTCCAGGCGTCGTGCGGTGTCTCGCTCACCGACGTGGCCGACACCATCAGTGCCAGCACAAGCAGCTACGACGGTTTCACCCCGCGCTTTATCGCGCAGCTCCGGGAGGCGTACATCACGGTAGCCGTCCCGACATCTCCATTTTCCCGACCTTGGATGCGATATTTGTGCTAGACGCAGTCGACGCTGGTGCGCCTCGAGCTCACACCGGTGCAAACACCTCTGGACGGAACGTGGGTCTGGTCGTCAGCCGACATGTCGGCGCTCGATGCCTTGCCGTGGACGCTACCGCACTACCTTCGGTACCTCGCGAACTCGGGCTCGTTTACCCAGCGCCTTGTCGGACACACACTTCAAGTACATCGACAAAGCCTTCTACTTGTATGTGGGTTTACATTCGTACATCAACTCTAGATGCAGTCGACGCCAGCCGCCTTTTCCACCGTCCCGTGCGAACTCGTACTTGATGGCGATGTGCGTAGTTTGCGCGTCTTGCCGTCGGGCGAGTCGTGCATGGGCCAAGTAGCTGTCGACTATACTGGCTGCCTCGTGGCCGGGAAGGAGCTCCAGCTGCGGCTCTTTCTCTACGAACGAAACCGGTCGTCATGCTTTCTGGCAACGATGCGTGTCTGGCCGAGTAGCGAGTACGCCCTTGTGTATCGAGTGCAGCTAGAGCGGGCGTGCCTCGACGACGCTGCGCTTTTGGACGTACGTGCGTCGTTGCGTGTCGCTGCACTGGGCGCCACCGAGCCCCTCGGCACCTTCCTATCAACCTACCATCGTGCGGCTGAGCATCTATAAACGATAGCGTGACTTGTAACGAACGGGGTGGGTCATCGCAGATGGAAGTTGGTACATACGACGCAGATGGTGGTCGAAGTAGCATCGCGACACATTCCTCGCATTGTTCCAATATATTGAGGTAGTGTGAAGCTTCTGCACTGGCCGCCGATGGCCACGACCCGCGCGGCTATACACCCGGTGGCAAGCGCGCGACACTCGGTTCAAGAATGTGGTGTTGAGAGTCCGGGTTTATGCGCCGTCGTCGTTCTGATAGCATACATTAGAGCATCCCCAGCAGTCGTTTTTATACGTAAATATAGCAATTTTTAAAAACGGACCTCCCCAAGAGGCGTTTTTATTTCTAAAAATTTGTAAAAATTTGCCGGTCGTTTTTATCGCGGTCGACTTTAAAAACATCGGCCAGCATTTCCAATCGTTTTTAAGGCCCATGCGACGGGCAATGGACGAATTCAAGGCATGAAAACGCCGTCAGAACACAGCTCGGAGTTTTCCACAGTCGAGGACAGCTATGCCGGCAACACAGAGACCCCAGATGTAGCAGGAACCTCTCGGATGGCACTCGCATTGAGCGATCTGGGCAAATCATATCTGCACACAAGGCGTCGCTGCGCCCACTGACATGCGGTTAGCTCCGTCGCACAGTCATGAACTGCCTTGATGACTCTAGCTAAGCGCGGCCCGTGGCCGCGAGTAGGACGGCCTAGTCAGTGCTGGCGTCGACGGCGTCGCCCTGAAACCGGTGGAGGGCCTCGCCATCGTCGGAATGTTGATCTGTCAGCTGTTGATTGGCAACGTTTGGCAACGCTGCTGGGGAGCTCCATTTCTATTGCCAACTGGTCGTTTCCAAAGCCACCCGTTAGCAATAAAATGAAAACGACTCCTGGGGATGCTCTTATACACGCACTAATCGTACTACTAGCGTATACAGTAAGCACCTTGGCCACGAATCGAAACGGCGCCATATTTTTTGACACGCAAATGTCCACGTGGCAGTCTCCGGTGGCATCCCGATACACCTCCGGTTTATCCGTACGGCAACCCACGCAGGTCACAAAAACATGAGGGACGTGAAGACGGTCCTATCCTTCTTACTTCGAGAGACGACGCCGTTCGAAAGACGTCCCTTCGTGCTCCGTTGGCCGCAGTAATTGGATACGAATGAAGCCGACGCTGGTGGTCCACGACGCGCTGTGTTACAGCCGCTGGTCGGTGGGGTGGACGGTAGAGGTCCGAAGCGTTTGCGTCCAGTGCAGGAGCGTGATACCTGCCACTGAAGCGGGTCATGAACAAATAACAACAAAACCCCGTCGGTCGGTCGTCCCATCAGAAAGCGTTCCCAACACATATGGGATGTGTGCATTCCAAGTTGCCATATACAGTAACGATGACGACGAATGTCGATTTGGCACTGCGCAAGCCCATGCAGTCGACAAATCAGAACTTGTATGCTGAAAACCACCGGCGACGTTGCATCGCATGAGACCCCGGAGACAGCGCCTCCTGCTTGTTTCCTACGCCTGGAAGAGACTTCCACGGCGAACATCTGTTGTTGGAGCACATTGCAGAGGTCGCTACCTCCTTGTTGCCAGCGTTTCGAGAGCGCGTATTGGCCAGTTGTTGACTGATGGCACACGGTATTCCGACGCACGAACCTTGGTGAGCAGCTTCTTGAGTCTGCTTCTTGAAGTGCTACTTCGAAATCCAGGAGCAATTCGACCTCGGCACAATGACCAGCTGGCGTCGTTCACTGCCCGGAAACAAGATGCGTTTACAGATTTCTGCGAACGCCAGCCTCTGCTCGATGCGGTGCTGGTGCCACCTTGGCACTGCGTTCTGATGGCACGTGATTGATGGGGTGCTCGAGTTCGGTGGGATGCAACTAGGGCCGTTGCCGACGCGCCCTGCGTCGACGAGTCTGTAGGGCTGGGGCGGCCCATCAATACTGTCGGTGACCGTCAGTGTCATTACATGACCACTGACATTTGGCGCGTCGTCGACCACGTACTTTTGGACAGTAGCCAATCACCGACGGCTAGGCGACGTGTACAATAGGTATGCGAGTCCTTCGTTTGATCCGCTTCCCATATTACCACGCCCGATGGGGGCGGAGAAGGTTGGGTTCCACGCGCGTGCCGGAAAAAGCAATTTTCGGTGCAGTAATGACGCGTACTCGGCGCGTCACTCGCACGTGGTCAAGTTGGCACTCCAACTATTTCTCAATTGGCCATGTCCTGCGCCTTCTACCTCCCCGAGTGCACCCACGGGACGCTTTTCCAGCCCACGTATGTGCGGTACGCGGCCATCCCACTACACCTACTACGTCGCAGCTCACATTGCACTTGTAGCTGCCAAAAATCCCAAGGCCAAAAGGTACTGTCCACTATTTGTACTAGCACCGGGATATGAAGGCACCGTAGATTCTGCGCTGCTTTCCGCACTGCTGTCCCCAACACATTCACTACCGCAACTGCGGTACGGCCATTTGTCTTGCGGTGCAGCCGCGGTCGCAACTCGCGTCCTTGCGGGCGGTGCTCGCCTTCACAGCCGCGACCGACGACGTCTTCGCCCCTCACGACGTGGTGCCGACCAGCTACTTTGAGGCGCACACCCGGTCGCGGTCCAACGTTTTTGGTACGCTCTACGAAGGTCTTCGGCTGCCGTCGCTCGAGAACACGGTACGGCATTTTCGTTTTGACGAAAAGTTCGTGGATGGCTGGCACTATGCGTGCGTGGAAGAGCGGCCGGAGCAAGGCGCAGCGGGACCTTCCCCACGTCCTTCGGGTAGCCCATAACGATTTGCGCATATTGACGAGCGAACGAATTAGGCATATGTGTTTGAAGCCGCCATCTCCAACGACGACGAGTGGGTCCTCATTGCGTCCGTGGCGTCGACCCCGTTCACGATCGTGTCGTACCGCGGCGAGCACAACAAGAAGAAGCGCGAGCAGCTCCAGATCGAAGACTTTGCACCGCAGAGCACGAGCTCGGACCACTTGATGACCATCTTGTCGAGCTTGCAAGCGGTGTCGTTGGAGGCGACGCCGTCCCCGCTGCTTGAGTGGCTCCGCGTGCACGTGCCGCTGCCGCTGCCCGTCGCGTCGGGCGGACCGGCGTCCGATGTCAGCACCGCGTACCACAATGTTTGCCTTGCGATGATTGTTGCGCTGAGCCACAAGGACGTCTTTGAGCGTATGAATGACGTCTTGGTGGCCAATGCCGCTTCCGTCCTCGACAAGACCGACCTCCAGCGCGTCTACTACGAGTGCCTCATGGAGCAAGTGCTCTTTCCGATTTTGGAAGCGGTGCTAAGCCAGCACCACGTCTCGGCGGTCGAGGTGGCGAGTGCGATGTCGCCCAGCACCGACCACCATTTTTTTGTCCGGTTTGTGGCGCAGATGCGCGAGTCGTATATCCTGGTACACTGACCTATCCCTACCCTACCCCCTCACGACGCAATGGTGTAGACGCAAACGCTGGCGCCGACGCGCTTCCGTAGCCCGAGTGCCGGCAGCGCTGTGGACGGCTCATGGGTGTGGCAGCAAGAAGCCACGGTGGTGCATCACTGGGCACTCTCGACGTCGCTTATGCACTACCTCCGCTTTCTCGACAACATGTCGTCCTTCCAGCAGCGCTTTTCGGGCCATACGCTGCATGTAAGCAATCGCCGTGTTGTCGGATCTCATGGTGTGACTAGATGCGGTCCAACTCGCCTCGGTTCAGTACCGTGCCCTCCGAGTTTGTGTGCGACGCGAGTCCTCGCAGCTTGCGCGTGCTCCCGACCGGCGAGTCGTGCCTGGCCGACCTTATCGTCGACTACGTCGGGTTCATGGGGCCGCACGGAGACGTGACGTTGGCGCTGTATCTCTTGGAGCGCAATGCAAACATGTGCCTCCTTGCCGAGGTCCACATCGCGCCTCGAGATGGTCAGACACTACTGTACACAGTGCGCGTGCACCGGGCCAATGCACCGTCGCCCGTCGACGACGCCTTCTTCGACGCGGACGCGTCGACACGCGTCACCGTGTGCCAAACGGAGTGGCTGCTCGCGCCTGTCGCTTCGTTGCACATGACCTATACTCGTGCGCCATGACTTGCGAGATTGCACTTGCGAGGTGGCACTTGCTGGCAGTGGCACTGCGTTGCCGCGATGACTCGTGTGTACTAATCACAACGGAATCATAACCACACACCTCGTTGACTGCATATTGTCGTCGCGCGGCCACCCATGCGACGAGATGACGAGAGATAGGCAACTATTACCATAGTGCCGGAATACTACTGGATCTTGGCTACTAAACACGGTCTGGAATCGACTAAAATCGATTAAAAACATTTGCACCATGTGCAATCACCTCACCCTGACTGCACGTGCTTTCTGTTCTTGATTGCCCCGCACCCAAGCAGGTGGCTAGCATACAGCCGTGTGGTACGACGGCGTCCCGGAATGCATACAGTACCAACCAACTTTGAAAGTTGCGTCGAGTGTGATGGCACTTGTCGCCCGCGATTGCTCGAGTGGACACACATGCCTGATCGCGTGGGACGCACGTGATGATCACAAACGACGTGCCGAGAGGTACTGTCGACTTGAGAGAAGCAGACCGAATGCAAACCCGAACCATGAGTCGTGTCGCACGCACAGTTGGATTCGCCTCGTGCAGTTCACCGGCTGGGCGATCGGACAGTAAAAATTACAAGGACGTCCGTCGTCCGATCTGCGCCATCGCGTCCATATAAGCGATGCTAGCAACGAGCATCACCTGCCACTTCTTCCTCGTCGACTGCGTCCATAGCAGTAGCCCTATCTTTCGACCGAGCTACGTCCGGTACGCTCTTGCTGCCGTCTGCTGCCGATAGCGTCACACTACGTTGTTGCCCTGTAGATGCCAGAAAACTCAAGGCCAAAAGGTCGGCCCGAGCCGTTGACACGTCCTCACCGTCCATAGATTCTGCGCTGCTTTCCGCACTGCTGTCCCGGCCACGTCCACTACCGCAACTGCGGCGCGTCGCTCTACGTACGGGCCACGCCCCACACGCACCCCCTGCATGTGTTTGGGCTCTTCTCGCTTAGCGACGAGGACCCGTACCCAGTCGGGACCATTGTCGACGCCAACCTCGTCCAGCGCGAGCTCCGCGTGCCGTCCAACGTGCGCGGCTCGCTCGTGAGTGCGGTCCGAGACGAGGTACGGCCGGCGCCGTCCACCATCCAATCAAGCAGCATTAGATCATCCCGAATGCGTTCCGATTCGACGAAAAGGAGCTCAACGGGTGGCAGTACAGCTGGAAGAGCGGGCGCAGCAAGGCCCAGCGCGACCTCGCCCACGTGTTTCGCGTACGTCCTTGCGCTCGCCACTTGTGTCAACGCCGTCGTACGTAGGCAATTGTGCTCACACCGATCGCGCCGGACGTGTGGTGCGTTGTGGGCGTTGCAACGTCGACGCCCTTTACGATCGTGTCGTATCGCGGCGAATACAACAAGCGCAAGCGGGCCGGCGGCACACCGTCCGAGCTCGGTTCGTCGTCGTCGTCGCGCTCGTCCTACGACATTTTGCTGTCGTACATTCGGGCCTTTCGCGTCGATATGGCGCCCTCTGCAAGCGTTGCCTGGCTCCACCACGCCATCGGCGTCGCGTGTCCGACGCTCGGCTCGCCGCGCCCGTCCAGCGACAGCGCGTGGCACGATCAGATCTGCGTTGCGATCGCACTGGCGCTGTGCGGCCGCGAGTTCGTCGCCGAGTTCAACGCGTGTCTGCTCACGCACGCCGCCGCGGTCCTCGCCAAGCCCGAGTCGCAAGCGATCTTTAATCGCTTCTTTGAGCATGTACTATTGCCGACCATCGACCGCGTTGTGAGCACATTCGGAACGACGGTCGGTGCGGTCGCCGACGCCATCACCCATCACACCCCGCCCCCCGCGCTGTTTTCGGTGCAGGACTTTCGCCCGCGCTTTGTGGCGCAACTGCGCGAAGCCTACATTGCCGTACCTCCTTGTTTCTTCGACGAGGACGGAAGCTCAGTTTCGACGTAGGCGACGCAGGGACACCCGTCCTGGCCATCGTTTACCTTTGGGAATTCGGTCTTCAATGGCGCGTGGCAGCGGCAGTCGACGACCGTTCATACGCCGTGGCGCACGGGCGTGACGCTACCCCACTACCTGCGCTGGCTGAGCAACACGACGGCCTTTCACATACGACTCGACGCGCCAACGCTTCTGGTACGACACGTATGATGGTTGGACTGTCCTTGCGATTGCATTTCGATGTAGGTCCGCGCCGTGACGCCGCGGTTCACTGCAGTGCCCTCGAGCTTTCTATTGGACGGAAGTTTGGGCAGCCTTCGGGTGTTGCCGGACGGCGAGTCGTGCTTGGGGACCATCGCCGTCGACTACCGCGGCCACGTGGCCATGTCGGGCGATATACACCTAACCCTCTACGGCTACGAACGGGGCGGGGCGGCGTACTTATTGGCCACTGTGCGTTTGCACGTGACGTCCGAAGACGCGCTTGTGGTTTCGGCGACTGTCGACGTGGGCCGTGCGATCGACGCACCGGACGCCATGGTGCAGGCGATGTTTGATCTCAAAACGGCCAGCCGCGTCGAGGTGCTGGACGTGTGGCCCCGCGCCCCCGCGGCCGCGTTTGATCTGCAGCTGACGCGCGTGCCATCGTAATGCGCCGAAAAGACAAATAGAAATGAGCAGTGGTGTATTGCACAGTACACACAATACGTCGGGATGGTCTTTGCTCTGCCGCCAACACAGGAGACACGAAAGACAGCCCGCCGTAATCGAGTGTGATTGCTAATAATGAATTGAATTGATACCCAGAAAAGGGCTAGGGTTCATAGCCGCGGAAGAGTGCCACGTCAAGCGTCCGATCAGTTCGGATTTCTCGTTGGTCCTAGCGGACTAAATATCGTTCGCGTTGGCATCGCCGTTGAACTCCAGTCACGGCAAACCTACCGAGACAACAAGATTAGTAGGAGTACTCTTATGTACGGTCATTGACGCGCTTGTTGGAATGTGTTTTCCTTGTATATTGTAGAAATATGGGATAGCAGCAAAGTGCTGGGTACGCAAGAAGCATGTGTTGGCTTACATTTCTCCGAGAAAGATCAGCGCTGAGAGCCTTTGTGTTGCCTTAGGATACTGTAATGGTATCACGGACGTAAAGATCCGGCCGACGACAACGATCACGCGCTCTTTTAGCACCGGTAGTTGTCTGTTTCCGGATACATGTTGCCACATGAGAGAGAGACAAGTGTTTTGCCGGGAATGTCCGCATACCGGGTCTAATTTACCGGATTCTGACTGACCGCGGTTTGGATCTTGACCAATGGATACCGCGTGTTAAGACCGTTTGTGCCGCGTGCTGAACCAGGTGCGCGAACCCAGCTCGCAGAGCTGCAACGATGCGTACATAGATATGACGTTTATTCGCGTAGTCCGAGCTGTGCAGCGTGTCGTACGTCCGACCAGTACCTCGAGCTACATCGGCAACCAATTGAGGCTGACGGCATCGAGTCCTCGGTGAACGAAGAAGGGATGCTTGGCTAGCACCCTCCCGAAAACTGATGTTTCGATTACGAT